GCATACGGGCCTATAAATGAATATTCTTACCTTTATAAATTTGTTTAACTCATAGGCGTTGGAGTAATTAACAAGATACTTTAAAACATCTTGATGACCAATAAACGATGGTAAATTATTGTCGAAAGGAAAATCTGGAAACGCCATTACTTCTTTTGGTAAATTAGTCCTAGTAAAAATGGTACACAGATTTCCAATTAATTTGAGCGAATGCCAGTTCGAGCGGATGCCAGTTCGAGCGAAGCTATAACAAGGGCGAATTTATCGTCGCCCTATTCTCTTATTTGTTTGTTTTAAATGCAAAAAATGTTCTATGCACTAAAGTTCTGAAATGTTTTTTTGGTACTTTTTGATAATTCCATGTTTGAATTACAGTCCGGGCAAATCCGACTACCAGATGGCTGCTAGCAAGCACGTATATTATATTTTCAAAACTATAGAATTGCGTACGTTTCAGGTGAATTCATGGTTTTTGTCTCCAGTTCAGTTGGGGTTTTTTATATACAATATAATAATAATAATGGAAACTAGGCTAGGCCTATCATTTTTCAAATGCAAAAACAAATATAATCATGGTTTACTGTACTTTAAAGATGAATACATGCTCGAATGAACAGGCAGGTCATATTGATCAGTTTCTGTATTCTCTGTGTAAACCCATGTCCCTCCAACACAATCAGATTGTTCGAAGACCACAGGTTGAAATAGGTTGTGGTTTCTCGATAGGTGCCGGGCCGCACAGAGTCCTGCAGCCCCTGCTCCGATGACAGCCACACGTTGCATCACACGGAGGCCTAAGGAATGTGTAAGTGTTATTATAACGTATTATTGGAACACAACATATAAACTAAGGTCTACAAACTACACTATCTACTTACTTTTCGTTATAACCGTCTAAAAATATAAATAAATTCACTTCTTATAAACCCTCTACCTAGCTCAGCATTACGTAACAGCTGATTTGTCCAATTGCATCCTGCTGCAGACCGGCAGCGAGGCGAGGTCAGCTACGCTTTGCAAAAGCAGCCAG